TCGATCCGATCAACTACGCTCAGCACACCGTTCGAATACAATACCGTACAAGAAATCCTTACAAACAAGCAATTGTCTCTATCCGTAACCTTGAAAACTGCTGAAATATCCGTAATGCTTCCGTAATGTTCTATTCCTTCGATGTGAGACTAGTTAAACGATCCTTATCCGAGAAATAAAGGCGAAAATAACAAGCGATAAAAGCACATATATGCCGAGGTTTGACCTAGTGTCGAATGACAACACCTCGGCGCAGACTGGGCCTAGTGCACAGGACACCTAGCATTTACATGGCTCCCCTAAAATGCTTGTCATTTTAACCAAACAAATCTTACTCTAACTCGTTTAGAATACTAGAATTGCTAAGCGTTCTAGATATCCTGTTTCTGTACCATTACAGTTCCTCAGGCTCCTCGTCGGGGATTCCCGGTCTATCCTTAGGTGACTCTAGCAACAGCACAAGTTTATTGACTGGTCGATCCAATACTGATCCAGTTCCGGTTTGAACAGTCACCGATCTGACTTGGCCTTCATCATCACGACGTGTGGTAAGCACTTTAGCCATAGGCCACTTATTCCTACAAGAATTGTTGTCCTTTAATAGAACAATGTCGCCTTCCGTGAAGTTTCTTCTCTTGTGTGTCCACTTTTGTCTCAACTGTAAGATCTGAAGATATTCTTTACTCCATCTATTCCAGAATTCGTTAGCAATATGCTGTACGCGCCTCCAGCGACGTTTGCAGTAAGTATCTTCTCGTTGAAACTTTCCTGGAGGGGGGAGAATGAGCTTGGTTTTACCAGTGAGAAGGGTACTTGGCGATAGTGGCAACGGTGAGAGCGGATCACTTAAGGTCTCGGTAGTCAGAGGACGACTGTTGACAACAGCTTCAGCTTCACATAACAAAGTTCGCAACGATTCGTCGTTTAAGCTGTGACCATGCTGTTTCATAAGTGCTGCCATGATGTTCCGCACGGACCGAATTTGTCGTTCCCAAACGCCTCCGAAATTACTTGCAGTAGCAGGATTTCTGATCCAATCAATGTTCTCCTTAAGCAACTCTGCCTTGATTTTCTCATCATCCATTTCTTGAAGTGCTGCCTTTAACTCGTTTTCGGCCCCAACAAAATTAGTCCCTTGGTCACTGCGAAGTTCTCTTATGGGTCCTCTACGACAGGTAAAGCGCCGTAATGCTTGTAAGAATGAATCTGTTTCCATGGAGTGGGCTACTTCGATATGTACCGCACGACTGGCCAAGCAAGTAAATAGGGCTCCGTACCTTTTAACTTCTTTCCTGCCTTCTTTGACATACCACGGACCAAAGTAGTCCACTGCACAGTATGAAAACTGTGGCGCGGGTTCAACACGGGAACTTGGGAGGTTGGCCATTTTCTGTTCTCCAAAGGTACCACGGAGATGTCGACACGTGACGCACTTTGATATGAAGTGTCTGACCGCAGCATTTCCATTGATAATCCAGTAACCACTCGAACGAAGTTCGTTTAAGGTGAGACCTCTTCCGCTGTGGTGAGTTTTCTCATGGGCGTGACGGAGGACCAGCTCTGTAATATGACCAGCCTTCGGTAAGATGACAGGGTTCTTAAGACTGTCTGAGAGGTTAGCCTTCCTTATCCGTCCTCCGACTCTCAACATTCCGCTGGCATCCAGGTATGGGTCGAGGGCGTTAAGGCTGCTACTTTTCTTCAAAACTGCTTTCCTTTCCTTATCATGATGACGATCTTTAGGCACACTTCCGGTCTGGGTTTGGAAATCTCTCAGAATCTTGATTTCTTTATCGAAATAATTCGCTTGCACCAGCTTGAGAATTTCTGTTTCTGCTTGTTCAAGGTCTCTGACCATAAAGGAAGTAGCCGGGCAACCTTCACATTCACGGCTTCGTCCATTAACTTGAGGACCGTCAACAGTTACAGGTCTCTTGTCTGTTTTACTGGCTCTCATCTTGAGACGTCGTTTGTATTCCATACAAAGCGCAACTGCGCCCTTTAGGACTTGCCACTTGGAGAATCCTTTGAATCTGCTTAACATGTTTTCATGTTCTTCAATCACTGTCGCGTTAGCGGTAACCCCTTTAACGTCAGGAGAATTGTGGTCGACCTCTTTTTCGTATGAGTCTTGTTGAGGCCAGTGATCTTCCGTCTGCCACAAGAAGTCTGGGCCCTTAATCCACTGTGACCTTTGCATAAACTCCTTAGCGTTCATCCCCCTCGATGCTTCATCTGCTGGGTTGGATCCAGACTCCACGTAGCGCCACTGGTCTGGTGAAGTGTGGTCACGGATGAATTGCACTCTATTTGCAACATACACTTGGAATCTTCGAGATTCATTGTTGATGAACCCGAGGACAACCTTACTATCGGTCCAGTAGAAGTCTTGGAGTCCGCCATAGTCTAACTCTTCCTTTAGCATGCTTGCAACCCTTACTGAAACGGTAGCGGCAGTTAGTTCAAGTCTTGGAATAGTGACTGTCTTCAACGGTGCAACACGAGCTTTCCCCATAACAAGAGAACAATGAATTCTTCCGTTTTCATCAACCAGTCTGAGATAAGAACATTGTCCGTACCCGACTTGAGACGCATCTGACATATTATGTAGCTGAGCAGTGGCAATGCTTCCAAAATCAGGAGGCTGAAAGTTTCTTGGGATGTTCAGCTGCTCTAATAGCGGTAACTGACTTCTCCATCTTCCCCATTTGGCAAGAACTTCTCCCTCGATTGACTCGTCCCAGTCTTTTCCGTGACAGATCTCTTGAAGTATCTGCTTTCCAACAAGGACGACGGGCGCAATCAGCCCTAGAGGATCAAAGATCGAGCTTATAGTTGCCAGTATACCCCTACGGGTGCACGGCTTGTCCTTCAACTCTATTCTGAATTTGAATGCGTCCGATTCAATGCACCATTCTACACCCAAAGCTCTCTCTATTGGTAACTTGTCACTACCTAGGTCTAGGCCCTTGATCTCCTTAGCTCTGTCTTCAGCAGGTACTGACATCATCACCTTTCTACTGTTGCTGACAAATTTCGTTAGTTTGAACCCTCCCTTTGCACACATCTCTTTAACAGCTTGTACTAGTTCTACAGCGTCCTTCTCTGTCGGTACCGAACTCAGAGCATCATCGACGTAAAAGTTCTTCCTTAATGTTTCGGCAGCCTTTGCACCAAACTCTCTTTCACCGTCTTCGGCTGTACGTTTCAAGGCGAAGTTAGAACACCCTGGAGATGAACCAGCTCCAAAGAGGTGCACTGTCATGCAGTACTCTTGAGGCTCTTGAGTTAAATCTCCATTTGGCCACCATAAGAAGCGAAGGAAGTTCTGATCTTCCCTTGGAACCTTGACTTGAAAAAACATTTTCTCTATGTCAGCCATGAAGGCTACCTTCTCCTCTCTGAATCTTGTGAGCACCCCAGTGAGCTTGTTTGTTAGATCGGGCCCTTGCAATAGGTGGCCATTCAGCGATTCACCCTGGTAACGAGCTGAACAGTCAAATACTACGCGTATGCTGCCTGGTTTTTTGGGGTGGTAAACCCCGTTGTGAGGTAAGTACCAGGCCTTTCCTTCTTGATGGGGTAGCTCTTCAACCTTGACCTTTCGAGCATATCCCTTCTCTATGATTTCAGTCATGAATCTGACGTAGTCAGCACGATACCTTGCGTCGCCTTGGAGTCTCTTCTTAAGGCCGTGCAGGCGTTGCTCTGCTTGAGGACGGTTATTGGGTAGCTGTACATTCTTTTCTCTAAAGGGCAGAGGCATCTCGTAATGCATGTCATCTCTATGATGGATTCCATCTTCTACAATCTTCAGGAACTGACGGTCTTCTCTTGATAATGCGACTCCGTGCTCCCTTTCAGCAAAGTCCACCTCAAACATTCGGGAAACCACTTGAGGGGTTAGCCGCTCCTTAATCTCTGTCTTAGCAATGATGTACCCATTCACGTTATCCTCTGTGTTGCTCTTAAGAATCTGAATACGGTTACAATGTACTTGTTTACTGCTCTTTTGGTTAACAGGACCGTTTACGTGCCATCCTAATAGTGATCTTACTGCATAGGGTTCATTCTCATTCCCGCAAACAATGTCTCTTGGTCGCACTGCACTAGGGCAATTTAGTCCGATCAGGAGTCCTATTTCTACGTCTTCCATGTAAGGAGGTACGTGTTTCCTAACCATCTGCATATGTGACCATCCTTGCAGCTCTTCGGGACGAGGAATCTCATCACGATCTGCTGGAATCCGTTGTCTGACGTAGGTTCTCGGTAGGGGTACGATAACGTCGTTTTCTTGAAAGTGGGAAGCCATTAGCCCATCTACCGCTTTAGTATCGACTTCTTGGGTACCATGCATAGTAGTGAGCAAAAGTTTGGTTTCACTTTCTTTAACACCAAGCCTTCTTAACGAGTCTTCCTTAATGAATGTTGCACCACTGGCATTATTGTGGTACAACCATACTGGGATAATACCCATAGCAACTGGTACATCACCGGCATCTGTCACATTGCAAATTGCAGTACACACGTTAACGACTCGCTCTTCCGTTTTCCTTTTACTGGCTTCCGATTTCTCATATTGGCCGTTTCCACTTTCCATTTTCGCCTCTTCTGATTTCCAACTGTAATCATGGAGTGACGTTGGGTGTTTCTTATTGCAGATCTGACAGGTTCTTTTACTTTTGCAAAGCTTAGCAATGTGTTCACAACTATAGCAACCGAAGCATAAGCCTTTCTGTTTGATAAAGTTTCTCCGCTCCACTAGCGGTTTTTTAAGAAACTCAGCACATTCGTCCAGATGATGCGCCTTAGAGCACAACGTACAGCTGATGGGGTGAGAATTTCCTCCACCTGCATTCTTTCCTGCCAGGCCTGTTGCAAAGTTGGTACCCCTTCCTCTCTTGGGTTTGCGTTCGTTCTGTTTGTGGTACTTGTCAACTGCGTTCATCGGTTTACTTATGCCTTCCTCGGAATAGATTGGGTCTGTCGCTAAATCGGCTTGCTCTGATACAAATTGGCAAAAGTCATTAAAGCTAGCTGTCTGTCCCTTGACACTCCTAATCCTGCTAACTCTTTAGCTTTCGCTTCAATTAACTTTAACCTAGCAGATGTTGCCGAGGAAAGGGAGTGCCTTGAGCGACGAGATGACTTAGATTTCGCTGAGTGTGTATCATGTAAACCGCCACGTAGCTTATCTGCATCATCCAAAAAGCCAATAATCCTTTGCTTTAGCTGGAGCACATCCTTATCGCGAGTGCCAAACCATTCAAGAGCTAATTTAATTTCATCATCATCATCTAAGGCCTTGAGATATGCGTCATGTGCTTCTTGCACTTTAACAAATAGCTGATCTAAATGAACAACTTCCGTACGCACTTGTTTTTCGTTCTCAAAATCCGTTAACAAAGGTGAGACTAAGTTAATCTGCTTAGTTAAATTAGCAAGTGCAGTTTTCCGTTTTTCCTTCAACTTTTGAATCTCAAATTGCCTACCCCTTTCTGTAGGAATCCGTTTTCGCACATCCATGTGAGTTTCTTGAGCCAATAAACCGGTCAGCGGCGATATCGCACGAGGTGACGAGCAGATTGTATCGAGATCCATATCGACTTCGCGCCAAGTGCAAAGCTTCTCTTCATCGGGGAGCTCCGTTTTCCCTTGTAAATCTTCTTCTTTGTCTCCTTCCATGTGATTCGTTTGTAGGTCAAACTGTAACAGCCGTCAATTCGATGTCAATTCCACGTTTTATTCGATCCGATCAACTACGCTCAGCACACCGTTCGAATACAATACCGTACAAGAAATCCTTACAAACAAGCAATTGTCTCTATCCGTAACCTTGAAAACTGCTGAAATATCCGTAATGCTTCCGTAATGTTCTATTCCTTCGATGTGAGACTAGTTAAACGATCCTTATCCGAGAAATAAAGGCGAAAATAACAAGCGATAAAAGCACATATATGCCGAGGTTTGACCTAGTGTCGAATGACAACACCTCGGAGCAGACTGAGCCTAGTGCACAGGACACCTAGCATTTACAGTTTGCATCCATTATAGTTATGTTCTTCAGTCTCACGGTAGTAGTGTTGTTCAATAGATTGCATAGAGTATATGCAGTTTGATTTCTGATTTCAGATTTTGCTTTTTACAACAAGTGAACGTTTTTCAACTACGATATTGGCATACTTAGCATACAAGGCATTCGAGGCTTTCATGGCTTTCAAGCGTTCGCGACTCAATCCGTTCCAAAATTACCGCTCAATAACATCTTTCAGTGTGGATTAGCCGCGATTAATACGCTTTTGTATATGCGTCTGTAAGTATTTTGCGCGTTTGCGCTATAATGCTCCAGGAGATCGCAATCCAAATACGTTGAAATACAAAACAACTGACCAAAGAGTTTTATTAGCAAAAAATGACGTGATTCGTCATGTGACCCGGCCTCTCCGTGTATGACAACGTTAATCATCATCAAGATAACACGCGTGATCAGCATGTGAACACCTCATTGGATCACAGTTAGTTGTCATGGTGTTGAGGGCTCAATGACCTCTGGGTACTATTGCGCAATTTTCCATTTTGTGGCGGAGGAAAAAAAAAAACGACAAAAAAAAAGGCAATTTATGACTGGGCTACCACAGGTATCCCAGTAAAAAGGACGACAAAAAAACAAAGGCATTTTATGACTGGGCTACCACAGGTCTTCCAGTAATGATCATGCTATTACATTTGACAAGGGTGGATGATGTCATGTGTTTTAAACATATATCATTTTTGTTTCTGGTTCAAAAGAAAAGGTTGGAAGTAAATGTGGGTGAAAAGTGAAATTTACTGTCTATCATTGTAAATGTTGGAAAATCAAGGCAGTACTGTTTTAATGAAAACATTAAGGATTCCCTCTTTATAAAATAAGACAAACGGGAACGGGTTTTGAGTGAAATAACTAAGCCTAGACTGCCCCACTCTCATTTTGGATTTCCGCCTGGGTAGATTTTGGTCACTTGCTAGGCAACGTATAATCAAGAACAAGATAGAATTTTATTTCAGGTCTATTTATCAATTTTGTGGTGTACAACTTTCACATTTTAGTACGTAATATTTATTCTGAATCTTCAAATTGTCTTGAAACTTAAAAGAAAATTATTTTTTAACAATTCATTGAAAATCGGTAGCCAAAATTATTTGTTTAGGTGTTATTTGATTTTCTTGTTAACCTGTAATTTCGCCGGCACCTTCTGTTGCTTCACACAGAAAAAACACGCGATACGAAATGTAATGATCGATTTTGTTCCCAATGTCACGCCATAACAGGAAAAGGTTTTGAACGCCACAAAAAACTCCGAGCGCTTCGGAGTAAGTGATATTTTTAATGAATCTTCGGATTGTTTTCAAGTTCAAGGATTGTAAATTACAATTTTATGAAAAACGAAGGTTGTTCTCTTATTTCCCGTATTAGACATGTGGGTTGAGTTTGTTGTTTCTTCCTGTCGTTACTCCGAGAGTTTCTTGATACCACTGGGTTCCAATGGTCTAAAAGCATGATGGATAATACGTTCGTACATTCGCAAACGTTTGACCTCTGTGTTTATCAATATTGTTAAATAAAATTTTGACTCCATTCATCCTTAGTTGTCGTAAACGCTCTGAAAACCTTCCCGCTGGGCTGCTAGACTTCAAACCCACCTCGAGATAAGCGGCCTTCACCTGATATTCTTTGAAAGTTTAATTAGGCAGCTATTGTTTGAACTGGAAAAACATAGTCTCGAATTAGGCAGAAATACGGACCTTTGTTCTGTTGGGGGTCCATTTTGGGCTTGGAAATCTCGGAGCGAGCTCTTCAGAATGAATATCATATTTCAATTTATTGAGCTAGTTTTCATTAGTGAAATTTTTTACGGTCGAAATTTTTTATAGTAGGAATGGTGGGTTGACCGCTAAATACATCATTGACCACTTACTGTAAAGAATTTCGCTCGAAAATACTGCTTACTTTGATTTTAAGAGAGAAACATGGATTCAAAATTACTCCTAAGATTATTCTTAGTTTTACTGGAACAGTTCCGCTTTCAGTAACCGTTATATACAGGTGGAGGACGATAAAAAAAGGACTTTGTAAAGGGTGACCGCTACCGCCTACTAGAAGTGACCGCTAAATAGAGGTGAAAACTATTACAGTGATTAAGGAGAAACATATTCGTGACTTTGACAAATGACTGCTTAATACGGCGCCACCAAATGCAGATTCGACTATTATTTCATTTATCATTTTCGCCGGGAAGAGGTGATTGTTATCCTTTTCCTTTATAATAGGTTAACCTCTAAATGTTATTCAAGGGCTCTCGTATAATTTTCTCTTCATTTTGTGAAATTTGTGACAACAATGTCGTGAGCTGCCATTCAATTGCGAAAACCTAATTTTAAACTCCCACATGGAAAGCGAACATCGATTAATGATAAAACACGGCAAACCTGACATTTCTAAACCAACTTGTCTTAATCATAAAGAGCTGTTTTCATCACGGCATATCCTCAGTGATTGCAAAGGGACTTATATTGGAGAGGCAAACTGTTCTGCTCGTATTTTGTCAAGAAAGAATTCAAACCAATGAGGAACTGTGTAAAACAGTTTTATTGTTGATACTTGGAGTGATATCTTTCCTTATGGTGGAACAACTGATCAGCATTTTTTTCCTATTCACGATTGCAATTTATTTGGTTCTTTCGGAAGGTGAGTTTAAAAATAGATTGTATCAGCGAAATGCTTCACTAAGTTAAAGATTTGTTCTGTACGTTTGGTCCTGTTTTCATGAAGAAAAATTTCGATGATCAATACTTTATTCTTCTTTCTTCCTTTGCCGAGTGACCAAAAAGTGAAAATCATTTCTGCTATTATTGAGAAAATTATTCAATTGTGTTGAGTATGGTGTTCATACTTTCCACAGCTTCCCTGCCTCTTTGGAGAGCTTCCATCTTCCGCAAATAATGCGGGAATGATTTGTCATTTCTTAAATGGCTGAAACGGAATTAACATTTTATCTGTTCTTGTGAAGGATGGTTGGTTTGTCACGACGCTTTAAATTTGAAATCATGGAATTATTTACATGAATTATGTGATAAGAGATTACGGCTTAAAAAAAATGAAAATTTTTTTCCAATTCGAGTTTCCACGTATTAAAAGCATGAATATATTTTGTCTTATTTATTAGTCGTGGTTAGATTAGCAGGTCAGCCCTCCTTTGTTGTTTTAGTCTATTTGTTGATGAACGTCACTCTCATGATAATTTTGGTCCTTTCAAATGTCAATAAGTCGAATTCCAGTTTTCATCAGGAAAGCAGTTTCTCAAAATTAAAAAAACCCTGATGGCTTTCGGAGACAATTTTCTAAAATGTGTCCTCTGCCCTCAGCGAATATCTCAGCCGATGCATTTTCCTAGTCCGTTTTTTCTTCCAGATTTCTGAAACAACATCCTGTTATAATTTATAACAAGACGAAACAACCTGCCGTTAAACGATTGATAGCGAGGTCTTATCGATGTCTTATTTTCAAAACATACTTTTTATTGCAGATAATTGCCGAATACTGCAGTTTTTGGATGCCAAAGATGGCTCAACGCTGGAAAAATACGTCATAAGAACAATTGCCTTAAACTCTGAGCATTCGTGCAGAGTTCAGTGTTATCTGGAGAACGCATGCGTATCGTACAACTTTGGAAAGAGAGTAGCAGGAGATGAAGTCTGTGAATTAAACAATTCGACAGACATACAACATCCGGATGATTTAAAGCCGAGAGAGAATTTCATTTACCGTGGAGCTGAGGTATATAAAAGGTTCCTATAATTTTACAATTTTTTTACCCAGAAAAGGATCTCTATAGGGATAACCGTTAGCCGTAAAGCGGCCAAAAAGTTTAGCCTTAAAAATAGGCGTAAATATTGACAAACTCTAATCGT